ACCTACACTGCAGTTCTGTTCCCTTGGCACTGATAACTGGGGTTTCATTGTCCCAGGGAGGAACTCAGGCCTAGGAAGTAATCAGGGCTCCTGGCTCTGGTTTGGCTATCTCACAGCTGACAGGAGGTAGCTCTGGCTGCCCAGAAAGTGGCAAAGGATTCATCCCCTGGGACCTCCTAAGGAGCAAAGGTGGCCAGTAGCACACTTCAGTGGACTTGTAAAGCTTGGTTACTAATTCGCAATGCTGAATAAATGAACTCCTTCAAAACATGGGGAACATGCCTGTAACAGAATTCCTACCCTAGGAAAAGCTTACAAATGCAGCACACCAACCTTCAGTCATAGCTCTGAGAGCCGAAAGGGTCTTCAAGAAGTTATTTAGCACACGCTTCTCCCTTTGAGCAACACTCAAGACCCAGCCTTGAAGTGACTGGCCCAGGGTCTCATACAGGGCACTAGGGTCCAGCCTTAGGCTCCCAGCTCTACCCGCAGTACAGGCTAGGGCTGGCACTGAGCAAATGGGTTGTGGCTGTCACCAGAGAGGGACTGGCAGCAGGCACAGCAGACTATGTTTTCTTTGCAGGCTGAGGGTAACTAGAAGAAGCTGAGAATTCTTCTGCTCTGCTCTGCCTCAGGCAGGAGGAAGGGGAATAGGGAGGAGAAGGGGAGCGGGGAAGGCCAGGGGCTTTCACTCCAAAGGAGGAATTGCTCCAGCTCCTAGGATAACAGAGGTAGTTTGGATCAAAGATGGAAAAGAAGACAGACTTAGGGCCCCATGGAGTCCCTGAGGAGGATGTTAGGAGCCTGGGTCTCTTGTTGGGAACTGCTCTGGGGGAGTCATGGCGGGAGCTAACATTTACTAAACGCTTTGCTCTGTGCCAAGCACTGTGCTAAGAACTCTGTTGCATTATGAAGGCAGTTTATATAAGAGATGGGAACATGGCCTAAGTGACACAAGCCCAACTTTGCTACTCACTGGCTCTGTGACCTTGGGTAAGTCACTTAACCTCTCTATGCCCCAGTTACTTCATTAATAAAATGGGAATAATAATAGTACCCACCTGATAAAGTCATGAATATTCAGTACATTCACATACATAAAGCTCTTAGAACAGTGTCTGCCATGTAGTAAGCAGTTTTTGCTATCACTCCTTAGTTGAATCTGAAGTAGATATAAATTTCTCAGGCTCAAAGAAACCAAATTGTTGAAAACATGGGTGCCCTCCTAAAGTTCTTTTTGAGAGGAAGCAGCTTCTGAATTCACCAGCTCCCCACCCCAGGTCCATTTCTTTTTATAAACTCCACAGCTGCTTCATCAACAGAAGGAACAAAGGTGGATCTCTATCCTGCCTCAGAGGCTTGGCATGCCTCTAGGGGCCAGGCTGGCTGGTGGCTTCAGGCCTAGCCAGAGGTCCCACCCACTGACTCCTGCAGCACCCAGACCAGGGAACCTCCTAGAGGCCTCACCCTGCATCACTGCCTCCAGCTTCCCCTGGAGTCACCACCTTCCCCATAGTTTCTCCTTCTTATGCAAGATGCTGGCCGCCCAGACTGGAGGGACCCTTTCAATCTCAGGATAAACAAACTGCTGCTGTGGCCCAGCCCTCTGCTGGCTTGCTGTTCCCTGCCCCCCTCAATCCGCAGTGCATAGTCGCTCTGTTCTCCTGCCAACTTGGCAGCTCGTCTCTGCTGTTACTATCAACACCTCCAAGGGAGAAGGGAGCGGAGTCAGCTCTGATCGCCTGGCGCGCTGAGCAGCAAATTCATGTCAGAGCCAGCCCTGGAATGTCTCCCAAGCTCCCGAGGCTCCTGGTGAAGAAGGAAAGGTGGGCCTGATCACAGCAGCCTTGATTGCAAACCAGCCTCCCAGCAGAGCCGCTGGGCCTGGCCAAAGCTGCAGACCTCCCAGGAGCAGGCAGCCCTGATAGAAAGGGCTGCAGGAGGGTGCTCTGAGGCTAGGCAGGAGCAGGCTGCAGGGGCTGTCTCATCCCGGCTCTTGCCATGGTTCAGGGCAGGGTTGGTGGCTTTGATTACAGAGATGGTTGGTCGGGGTGGGGCAATCTGTAGCCAGGGTTGAAGAAATAGGTCTTTCTCTCCCCTGACAGTGATTCTTGGAATACCTGGGCTATGCCTTCTTTCTGCCGTCTTTCTTAAACTCCTTGTGTGCAGAGCTCTTGCTTCCCTTGTCAGATTGGACTGGGAGCCCTAAGCAACCACACTTTCCCCACGGAATGGAAACTTCCCAGAAAGAAACCATCTTTTCCTTTTCCCAGCCCTCTCCCCCAGCCTCCTGGGCCCTGCCCATTGGTTCTATAAAGCAGCTGATGTCCTTATCTGGCTCCTGCCAGGACTCCTAGGGCCCTGTTAGGAAGAAAAGTGAACCCATATCTTGAGAGATGCAGTGCCCACCCTCAAGCAAGGCCTTCCCATGGCACAGGGTCTGTGGTCAGTCATCTACCCCTTGGCAGGACCAAAGGTGGTCACTATGCAACTCTCCCAGGAGGAATCACCTTTCCAGCTTTTTCACTGCTTGTCGAGGGAAGGCCTATGGGTCCTGCTCAAGACCACTGGCATCAACAAAAGTGGTGAGTTCAGGGGAAGCTTCCTAATCCTTACACCACCCAGCTACCTGGTCTATTCAAGGATGTAAGCTCTCACACTCACTCTGGGTGCTGCTAGACTGTTTCCTTCTCTATGACATAGAAATAACCTTTATAACTCACTGGGTTACAGCAATGGTGATAAAGATATAAAGACGATGCCTATATGCTTCTAGGATTGTGCCTGGCACTTAAAGTCCTTCCTTTCTTCCTTCCCTCCCTCCCCACTTCCTTCCTTTTCTCCCTTTTCTTCTTTCCCTCCTTCCTTCCCTCCCTCATTCCTTCCTTCTCTCCTTCCTTT